TTTCTAAAAGTGGAGAACGCGACGGTTCCAATGGTGACCATTTCGGCGCACAAGATGTTTATCTGCAAAAGTTATGATTTTTTATATGTTAAAAACTAGAAAATTTCCAGAAATCACCAAGCACAGCCCAGACACTTTCTTGGACGCGCTTTATATTTTTTTACAAGCAAAGGACAAGGCGGTTCCGATGGCGACTATTTCCTTGTACAAATTGTTAACTATAAAGGTTAGGAACTTTTTTATGTTAAAAAGACAAGAATCTCTAGAAAACATAACACCCCTTCGCCAAGGCCTTTTTTGGACCCGGATCTCGGATATGCCATATATTTTCTGAAAAAGGGAGGACGAGGCGGTTTCGATGGTCACTATTTCCTTGTAGCGGCTGTTCACCTCCAAAATTCATAAAGTTTTTTTTAATGTTGAAAATCGTAACTGTCCGGAAATCACTGGGCACACCTTTCACTAGGTAATTCTATGAACGGACTCTAGGCAAACAATTTATTTCCTGAAACCGGAGAGAACCTTACACCACGGGACTTTCCTCGCTGACGTTGCTATGCAGCTACAGAAGCTACTATTTTTTTTCTCCTGGAAATTCGTGAATGCCTATAAATCTTATTCCTCCTTTACGATACACAAACAATTCCCGTACAAATATCTCCTTTGGTTGACCTTACCTCACTGTTAATTTTTTTCTCGGCTTTTTGTGAAAGAGGTCACCTTGATTCCGGTTTAGGGGTTAAGGGGGGGGGGGCAAATACTAAAATAAATAAATACAAATAAATAAATAAATAAATAATAAAATAAATAAATATAAATATGAAAATAAATAAATACAAATACAAAATAAATATATCGTTCGATTGCTTAGAAGCTGACTCGAGTCATATATCCCACATACGATTTTACTGCTGGAAATTTTTTCATCGTTTGTTTTAGAAAAAAAATGGTGAGCGTAGATCTTGCACTGGGTGATTTCTGAGAGATAACGTCAAAAAAATGAAAGAGTACTGAATCCTACTGGTGGGGTAGCCGCTGAAAAAAAAAGATGATTTATTGCTATGAAAATATTAGGTTGTCCCGAAAGTTCGTTCGCACCATTTTCAAAAATTCATAACTCTTTAAATTCTCAACGAATTTGTACGATCCAAATTTTGCTTGAGAGAAGAACTCATGCTCTTTGCATCTGTACCTGAAATTGTTTACAGATGAGGAGATAAAAGCTCAAAACCAAAATCACTCAAAATTTGAATTTTCCGTGTAGGGTCATAAAAAATCGGAAACTTGCAACAAAAATCGGAGCAGTCGGTATCGTAGGTTCTTTACCACCTCTTTCTAACAGTGCAAAGTTTGCGCCGATTGAGCGTTCCCATGAAATGCCGACTGCTCCGATTTTTGTTGCAAGTTTCCGATTTTTTATGACTCTACACGAAAAATTCAAATTTTGAGTGTTTGGTTTTGAGCTTCTATCTCCTTTATTTGTGCACCTTACGAACAGCTCAGGTACGGATGCAAAGAGCATGAGTTCTTCTCTTACGCAAAAATTAGATCTTGCAGTTTCGTTGAGAATTCAACAAGTTATGAATTTTTGAAAATCGTGCGAACTAACTTTCGGGACAACCTGATATTTGCAAAATCAGGAATCTTACAGACACGCCGGAAAAAAGCGTGCGCGTTGTGTCTTGACGGCTTTTATAGAGCGTGAAATGGCCTATACATATTAAGACTAGTAGTCCAGCGTTGTTGGTGCAGCCCAACAATTCTGTGTATCAAGTTTGCTTACACCACTCTTTCGTCGATGAGTCACGAGAAAAAGGACTTTTCGGACATTTTTTTGGTGAATGCTTTATATACTAGCTTGGTGGGTGATGCCTAATTATAGTTTAGCGTTTTGGTCCATGTACGCTGAAACAGGAATATTTACCAACATTTGCTTCCAATCATGTCATGGAAGTATGATTTGATGTGGGAAAACTAAAATTGTTTTCTTTCGAGTGGTTTTCATATAATTCCATGTTTGGTATCAGAACGATTGTCATTGCACTCCGAGCAAGAAAATCACTACATAGAATTATTTAGATTTTATTAGGTTGATGCAAAATCAATGAGCGTTTCGCTATCTTGACTTTGACGTGCTGTAACTTCATTCAGACATAACCTTTTTAGTCGATAAAAACCGTTGCAATCCACACACCTTTCCGACTCAATGCCAACTCTATTCCCGCGGCGTAAAAAACGGGCGTCTTAGATTCGATAAACTTTTGGAAGGCATTTTTGGCATCGTCTTGTTTCTTGAATATTTTCTCCTGCAAAAAGTTGTCCATGTGCTTGAAAAAGTGAGAGACTGTGGGAGACAGGACTAGTGAGTAAGGAGGATGAGGGAGAATTCTGTAGTAAAACTCGTTCGATTTTGGAGAGTCGATTTCCACATGAGGTCTTGCATTGTCGTGCAGAAGAATTGGACCTTTTCTGTTGACCAAAGATGGGCATGCGCTCGAGTTTCCTGCAATTCGTCAATCTCCCTGTAATAGGTCTCCGCTGTGATGGTCTCACCGGGTTTCAGGAATTTGTAGTGAACGATACCCTCGGCAGACCACCACAGTGATCATCACCTTTTTTGGAGTCAGCACCGGCTTCGGAAAGTGTTTCGGTTGCTCGTCTCTATCCACCCACTGTGCATATCGTCTCCTGTTGTAGTATAGAATCCATTTCTCGTCACGATTACAATTCGATTGAGAAATAGTTCGTTCTGGTTCCGTAGAAGGAGCGATGAGCAGATCTCGTAACGACGGTTTGCTTGGGCGATGGTCAACTCATGTGGTACCCACTTATCCAATTTTTTCACACTTCCAGTTCTGTCCAAATGGCGAAACACCGGAGATTGATTGACACCAAGGTCCTCCTCCCTTGTTGGAAGATGGGGATTATCTTTCAACATAGCTTTCAAACGGTCGTCGTCACAGTTTGAATGGCGTCCGCGCCTTTCCTTATCTTCAAGGTCTGTGTTCCCGCTCTTAAATTTTTGGAACCGACGACGCACGGTGGATAAGCCGACACTATTTTCGCCCCACACTAGGTTATCTTTCTAGCCGTTTCTGCCGCGCCAGTGCCGAGAGAAAATTCGTAAAAGTAAATCTGTCGAAAATCTTGCTTTGACATCTTTCTTCTCAAGCCCAAATTTCAGAAATGTAGATGTACGGTAAGAAAGTACGTGTCCTTAGCCACAAGATGATGCAGCTTGACTTGTGTAAAAATTGGATCGTCTCACGGCATTTGAGCTAAAACGGAAAAACGCTCATTAATTTTGCATCGAACTAATATTTAGATACTGTTTAAAACCTGAACAGCCCACGTTGTCACTGAGAACCATTAAATTCAGACTCGCTGGCGAAGGCGTAGCTGGGGGTAATTGCGCTAACTTTCCGCGGCCTGAGAAGATCTGCTTGATTTTAGCACGATAGGATAGCTCTCTCAAATCGGTGCGACTGATACATAAAACTGCTCACGAACTTCATATCCAAAGAAAAACGAAAAACACGCAATTTCTCTTGTTTTTTTGCTTTCTATCTAAGCTTAAAGGCAGTAGCTCGGCAAAAATTCAACCTGAAGTTTTTTCGCTTACCTGGGGTAATTCTACGCGCTGATTTCGAAAATACACCTTGAAGAGCACGAAAATAGCAAAAACCGGCCTTTTCAATGGTTCTCACTATGGATTTGGACGAGTGGACCACTACCCGCCACGGTTAGAGACTTAGAGTGGTTGCGGGACTCTCATGTTTATAACATTGCGGCATGCCGCCTATGACGGTGGGGGGGGGGCACGCTTGTCCGAGCGCGTGTAAGGATGGTTTGCGCGCACGTGTTCAGGTGTAGTTTTCTAGGCAGGGGCAACATGTAGTGCGCTCGGACCTGCTCTGTTGTGATGTTTGGGATGCAAGCAAGCTTCCATATCATGCCTGTAAGCGCACCTTTTGTAGAGTTTTGAGTTTTTGCTTCTTCTTCAAAAGGTTTTTCGCAAGTCTCGGTATCTCTCCGATAACCAACGAAACACATAGAAACTAACAATAAGATCATGAGAAAGTTGACTCTGAAAGAAGTTTCGGCACTTTGAATGGAAGATTGGAATCGGACAGATTTTATACAGCAGCCTGAAACTACAACAAATCACCAAACTAGGAGAAAACTAATAACGTCAACTAACCCCGTCCAAAAATAACTTTGCCGAGGCATAGCTCCTTATCTTACAGGGAGGGTGGCAAACTTAGAATGGCCGATCAGCACAGGTTGTGCTCTCTGATTCAAGAGGATTGGCAGCTGGAAGGCAGGGCTTCGAGGCCTAATCAAGGCTAAAGAATGATCAGGAGCATACTCGCGAGAGAGACGCAGACTGCTTCGCGTGTGCGAGCGGTCGCCTTCCAATCCCGTTCAATCAAAGTGTATACATATCTGGAGTTTGGAACACTTATTCAAATCTGTTTTCCTTTGTAGAATAGAACTTCATAGAAAGAAAGTTATGAGCGTTTTTCGAAACGGGTTGTGGCCGCTTTATTCACTTTCTCTGCTACACGGACGCTTCATGAGGATAACGCAGTGGCAAGTGTGCAGTCCACAAGGATGTATAGGTTCGAATTGGCCATGGGGTTTTTTCCTTTCTATGCAGCGCTTAAATTAATTTCGAAAAAAAATGCGATCCGCCTTACAGCGGATTCACACCTACCTATACTCAGGAAGGCTTACTTGCCACTGCAAGTAAGCCTACACGACGCGCCGTGTAGGCTTCTACTATACCTACACGACGCGCCGTCGAATGCAAAATGTGGACAAATCGGCCGCGACCGGTTTTGGAGAGCGCTCATAAATTTCGTCCAAAAACGCTTTGCAGTTATGGAAGACAGAATTGGACGGCGTTCTGTTCCGCGAAATATGCATCTTGCGCTGATCGGCCACCGAATTCTTGACCTTCCTTTGATAGTTGTATGAGTTCTCAAACAGTAGAAGACCTGCCTTGTCTTCACAATAAAACTTCCCGTCGCGTATATCGTAGTAAGCGGATTTCATAGCAACCACGTTGTCTGGGCTTTCTCCTTTGTACAAATTCAAAATAGCTAGCGAAACGGCCTCTATTGTGCGAATGGATCCGGATGCTGTTGCAACGTGCGTAATCTGTAAGGGTGTGCTAATAAGAAGATAGATGTCACACAACAACTTTGGGTAGCGGAAGGATTGTATAACCACTTATCATCTTCTTTTAGTTGGCAGTATGTACCAAAATTACCGCTTAGTCAGCAATTTTCTAATCTCGAAAAGCACAAAAGGAAGCGATGCACAGTTCAAGCAACTGCGGCATGCTGAATAAACTTTGTAAGGCCCTAGGCGCATCACACGCAATTTCATTTGCGACGCAATTTGGCAATGCTCCAATTGTGCATAACTCATCGTAAGAGGTTTTGAATGTACGGAAGATAGGGCATTTTGACAACTTAAGAAAGTTAAACATGCTGTGCATTTGAGGTCCGCCAGTATTGAACTGAAGATATCTGGCAGATTGCCAGATCGCGTGGAGTATGCCCGCGGCATAAAGTTGTTCCAGTCACGGATACTATTGGCAGCGATGAAAGTAGCTGGGTACCGGAAACAAAAACAAAGCTGTTGCTTTTAATGAAAATGAACAAAATCTTCTTGCAAGAACATATTGTGCTATATTGTTAAAGCATGATTCAGTAAAAATTACATCAGTAATTTTCTCAGTGATGAATGAAAGAACTTGTAAAAACTACCACACCCGCGCAGGACAAGAAGAGAAAAAGTTTCAGCAGACCCGATCACTCTTGCCTTGAGCGAATATTCTGGTAAACAGTTCTAATTTGACTAATCTTGAGTGGATGCGAATGCAAAACGAAATGATACTGTGACATGACTCACTTCTTGGATTCTACCTAAATCGAATCTTATCATAAGTTGCGCAGCTGCGGTGAACTTGACAGATGTCTCATTTCCGTAAACGAAGTAGGTGAAGTCCTTTTGTTTCGGCACTCTCGAAAAGTTGGTGTCGAATCTTTAAGAAAGGACAACTATTTTCTGGTAATCACAAAACAAAAATGGAGGAGATACAGTACGTGATTATCAGTTTGCACTTTTTGTTCATTTTTGATAAATCATAGAAAATCATTGATCGATAACAAGGACAGTTCTGATTGATTTTTAATGCAGTAGGGCGATCGTGCTACGAATTCTGCATGCGTTTTGTTGAATTTCTATTAAACGCGTTTCGGACCGAAATCGCGCGCGGCGAAAAAGAGTGTACTTTTAGCCGTTAGCCAACAAAAGGACCTGGTTTAGACTGTTGGTACATCTGTAATCAGCATGTCAGATAAGTTTCATACCCAAAGTTTTGAGTGAATTTGAAGTGTTTATATTTTGTCACTCGAGAAGGACTTCTGCGTTTCTTGAAAGATGGGAACAAGAACAAAGCTTCTAATAATATCCAAAAAAATATATTGACGCGGTACACCCATCATGAAAGCTACGGTTTTTCACTCCGAAATCGAAGAAAAGAAGTCGCGACGTCGCACGCGTCGTTCGCGTTGCCGCACTTTGTTGCAACTGTAGTTGGATTTGTCTCCATATTTCCTAAACAAATATCGGCGGCACAGCTCTACTAAGTCATGAAAGTAAGAGCTTAGTTCTTTGACTTGATAACCTTGGACTAGAAGAATACCTCTTGTGAACGTAGAAAAGATCTTTCAAAGGGTCCGAAACGTGTTAATGAGGAAATAGTTTCGTTTTTTTCGAAGTTTGAAAAAATTTATAAGAGTACAAACTGATAATCACGCGTACATACTTACGGGAAAGGACGAGACATTGCGAGCGTCTGAACTATATCTCCAAATACTGTTCTTCTCCACACCAATACGCTAGTTACCCTTCGCAAATTCTTCTGCAATGTAGAGGTTAAGTAGCCTGATGCCGTATTGGCTTGACAGTCTTTTGGAGAACCACCAGGAACTGCACCTTGGTGTCATTACCAAGATCGACACAGTCGGGCGAACGTTGTTTGAGAATCGGTTTGATCCTACACTCCCAGAATCTCATATCAGATTTAATGTTTTTTTTTGAATTAGGCGAGCCCAGGGTCAAGCGTGGGGTATGGCACGCCACCTGGTGGGTCGTAGAGGGATCAGGAAGAGGGGGGTCTTTATTGAGGTGATAGTGATGTAAGCGACGTTATGTCATTCAACAATGTCTGACAGGCCCATTCTACAAAAAAACAGCACTGATGTTTTGGCCTACCCTCCCACACGCAGAGTAAGCATAAAGAATCCTGGAAGCGTAAGACCGCTGTTTTCGTGATTAACATGCCAAATGACGCCTGAGGGCCTGGTTACGGCGAATTTTGAGATTTCCAAATATTGGGACACTCAAGTGAGGTGGTCATTTTCGACATGCTAACTTCGTTCCAAGGGTAAGTAAACTACTTCTTTTTGCAGTCTTACAAGGTACTACTACCTCTTCCCTCGTATTAGGAATCGCACTTTAATCAACTTCCAAACTATGGAATTAAGAGCAAGCCAAAATCTCGTTTGTCCCACTTTTCGCTTTCAATTTCTTCTAGAGACCAAGCAGGCTCAAATCACTTTGTTGAAGTCAAGAGGATTAGGCCATTAATTATAGTTTTTGCCGCCTTCCCTCGCAATTCACGTAGTAGCGCAGACTTAGCATATTACCGTCCAATATCTTCGCAGTGTTTTATTTGCTTAGCTAAAGAAAAACGAATATCGTTCCCCAGGAGAAACAATTTTGAATGAAATTTCTGCTATATGGAGTAGAAGGTTTGGCAGTAGCAATCATATAAAAGAGACAGAGATTTGAATGCTTTGAAGGTAAATTAATAAGGTGTGGCGCAACCCCTAAAAAACTGTGGCCGCCACAGTTTTTTAGGGGTTGTGCCGCACCTTATTTTTACCTGTGTCACACCCCATTAACCTGCCTCCAAAAAGAATTTTAGCGAACAACACATAGTTTGATAGCCTGCGTCTTGTAGTTTTTAAGTAATTTGGGCCTGATTCATCTTCTTCGCTCTAAGTAAAAGCTGGTGAAAGCGCAGCCATCAGAAGCGAAAAATAGGACAAATGAGATTTTGGCCTGCCTCTAATGCCAAAGTTTGATGGTTTTTTAGAGCAGGATTCATGGTATGGAATAGGAAGTAGTGCTTTGTATTGAGTACAAAAAGAGTCAGTTAGGTCACTTTTAATTTATAGTCATCTTCGAAAATGTTCACTTCACTTGGGTGGTCCAATATTAGAAACCCTCAGAATTTGATGAAACTTGGACCATGGCGGTTATTTGACATGATAGTTACGAATATGTGCCTAATTATTCATTGTAGAGCCTTTATGTCATAACTACGGAAGAGAGGATGGAGGGGGGGGGTACTGAGACAGAAAATAGGCGGGAGGGGGGTCGTATCCGGCGCTTGTGTGCCACAGCTCTTGCTCGTCCTGGGCGAGCCGAATAAACAGAGCGCTTAAAGTTGCTTATCTGCATCGAGTATTCAATCTTTGTGCTGCCGACCACTTCTTGCAGTTTTCTGGGTCTATACTGAATTTGATGAGTCAGAAATACTAGCAGTGCTCAAAATTTCATAGTTAGCAACGTTAAGAGTATTAAGCTGTCCCAAGTCTGCTTCTCCCAGGAGATTAGAGTAATGCGTTTTGACTTGTTTTAGGTACATCAACTTGCTCAAGTACTTTACGGGAGGCTGAGTAGAAAATTAACGCAAGTCTAGGTTTGTAGCGGTACCATAATCGACGATATCGCACGGTAAGTGGACATGCAAATACTCTACACCAGTGCGTCACCTCTGCTTTGCAGAGGTTCGCACCTTTTACTAACTATATGCTTTTCTCGTACTCACGTAGTAATGACTCTGAAACTCACCGCGCAATGCTGATCATTACGAATGAACTATAAACAACTACTTATTCAAAAGTTACTCCAAGTAAAATCGGTGACTTTGGAAGAAAAGAATCGTTTTTGCAGGTGAACAATTTCGAATTTGAACCATTTACCAAATTTATTTTGGCTTTTTCGTCGCGAGGACTACAGCCAACGTAAGCTAGACCTCTGAGCAGAAATCCTCTCGTTTCTTGAGTAAAATCATGACAAGTTGACAATCTACGCGATCACTGCTTTTTGACCTCGCGATTTTGTAAAAAGGCTAAATACGGCTCTATTTTTTGCAAAGGCGTGTTTAGCCTTTTTAGCTAAAAGCCGCGTGGACCTGTCTGATGCGCAGTTTTTGCAAGTTTACCTAGTGAATTGTGAACCTACATGCTAGCGACATGAGTCGTGTAAAACTGTGGCTCGAGATGTTTGCTGCAACTCACTCTATGAATTTCGTAAACAGATATACACACACGGACACAGACGGCCCTAGCGCTTTATTATAAGCCATATTCTACATCCTGAAAAGATCACATTCCGCCATACATCGAATGTCCTGATTGCCATTTCTATTGCTAGTTTCAAGTCGACGAAGAATATTGTGTTTGAGAAGCGGCATAATGGGAGTAAGCTTGTAAATGTGGACTCGAGATCGGGTAATCGGTATTTTGTTGACTCATATATCAAGCTATATGCGAGTGTGAGTTTGTGTGTGTGCCTGTCTGTATGTGTGCTCTGAATACAAATTATTGTTTCTGAACTGATCCGGACCAAACTTTGTACACACCCCTCGGAGCTGGGCGGATGTCTTAGGCTACCTTCATTATCCATCGATCAATTTTTTGCAAAGTTAGAGTACGGAGCTGAGCGTTGGCACAGGTGGTAAGTGAGGCTGTCTAAGAAAATATAGACAGGGCGGGCTGTGTTTGCTAGCTAGTGATAAGTACGCCCGCTAATGCAACCCTCTGTTGCTTGCATGCAAAATAATCTCCGTCGTTAATTTTCTCTTATTCTTCCTTCTCTGCATTGCTGGTAGACATTTCTGTGACCAAGAAACATGTAATTGAATCGTGTGTGACGTCGAAGTTAGCGCATCATTCTACTTGAAAATATCGGTTAAAGCCGGACATTTCAGCACTTACGAACAAGTAAGATTGATCAAAGTTTCATGGCAAAGCAGTACGTACTTGTTTGGGACTACAGATAACGGTTTAAATTCCTTTTAGTTCACCTAGCTTAGTATTCGTAACTCAATTGAATTTGGATGCGCTGTTAGAATGGTCGCCTTTCTTGGAATTCTGTGTTCTGTGATTTTCACACCGGTTTTTTCTTAGAGAGGCGCTCGTTACGTGTGGCTCCAGCATTCAGGTTGGCTCACCGGCTGGAGGTTTGCGCGCTAGACCCTTGCGCAAGCGTAGCTCACATGCAAAAGGGAGTACGTAATTGACATTGACTGTACATATCGCTCTGATGATTAGCGGTTTTTTTGCACGCACGAGCTAAGTATGGTGCGGAACAGGCATACAAGGCATGGAACAGTCAAGATAGCGGGTCGCATGAAAATGGTGTGTTTGCTCATAAGCTAATGTCTTGTTTGGCTGTTTGAATTAAACCTTGAAGAGCTACGGAAAAACCTACGATTTCTAATTTAGAAGGAGCTGCAAGTGTCTTCCTTCGCTCTCCATAGAATTTGTCAGCCATTGTGATCAGACTTCGGTCAGTACTCTGAAAAAGCATTTCTGACTATAGTTGTAACGAACAGAAATTTTCGCCAAATGAACGAATATCAACGAATGAATGTCGAATAGCTGATTTTCGAAATTTTTTCAAACGAATGAATACCGAATATTTGATTTTCAAAATTTCTTCGAATCTCATATATAAAGCTGAATGTCTGTTTGTATGTCTGTCTGTCTGTCTGTCTGTGTGTACGTATGTTTCGAATAGAAAATTCCATTTCTGAACCGATCGGGACCAAACTTAGCACACATTCACTTCGGGGCCCGGCGGGTGTCATAGGCTACTTTTCGTCATCGATCGATATCGATTTTATCGATTTTTATCGGGTTTTTTTGCTGAGTTCACCTACGGGGCTGGGAGTTGGCACAGGGGGGTAATCGAGCATGGGGATTCCGAATACAATATTGGTTTTCAGGATTATCGATTACTTTTATCGATTTTATCAATTTTTTTGCAAAGTTTGAGCTAGGGGGCGAGTTGGCACAGGGGGGTAATCGAGCATGCTGATCACCCCCAAGGAGTGATCAGCATGCTCGATAGGTGAACTAGGTAATAGTAGGTGAACTCTGCAAAAAAATCGATAAAAATCGGTAAAATCGACATCGAGCGATAACGAAAAGTGGACTGTGACACCCGCCGGGGCCAAGTTTGGTCCGGATACGGCGGAGCCGGGTAAGCCAGCTAGTGAACGAATATTATTCGACTTTCGATTTTCATTCGAATTTAAAATATTTGAATATTGGCACATTCCAAAATTCGAATGAACGAATACTTGAATAACCGAACTTGATCGAACATTCGAACTAATTTCGAATAAATGTTCGAATACTATTCGAATATCGTATGCAATATTCGAATATTCGAATATTCGAGCAGGTCATTTTTCGAAATCGTCGGATGAACGAATTACTTAAACATAGGCTTTAGGCCTCATTTATTCGACTATTCGAATATTCGAATAGTCGAATATTTCTAAATTATTCGGACACGAATTCGGTGCTAACTATAATATTAGGTTGGCTCAAGAGTTCTGGGACATTTCCAGACAAGATCTGCTATTTTTCAAAACTTAATGCATGCACATCCGGCAGAGGAACCATTGAAGACCAAAGCAAGCTCTACAAGATGGTATACAAAAGTTCGTGCCAGCTTCGATCCACCGCAAGTTTGCATCCAGAATCTGAGTCGTACGAAGGCTTGAATGAAGAAAAATTCATATCTTCGTTCATGTAAATTCTACGGGTCTCCAAATTGCTCATGCAGATTGCACACCACATCAGACACCCATACGTATCATTGCTGTATTTATTCCTCATCTAAAAATCGAGAAAACGTAAATTTTTATGTTCACATAAAAACGAAGCTGCGCTGTTCCCACTCATGTAATTCTATAGTACACGCCAGAAGTTTAATCATAAATTCTCAGCTTTTTACAGGCCCTAGTTTTCGAGAAATATTGATTTTAACATGGAACATCTAAGTGAGAAAAGATCCATTCGTAAAAGGAAAGTAGGGCCTATAAGTTGAAAATTTATAAAAAAAAATTTACGCTTATACTTCTAAGGACGTGTACTATATAATTACATGAGTGGGGACAGCGTAGCTTCGTTTTTGTATAAACATGAAAATTTTCATTTTCTTGACTTTTAAACGAGGAAAAATTACAGGAATGGTACATATGAGTGTCTAATGTGGTATGCATTTACCTGAGCAAGTTTGAGATCCGTAGTGATTATTTTCCAATTTTTCGAGCCTTCAGTACACGCAGATTCCGGATGCAAACTTACGCTGGGTCGAAGCTGGTACGAACTTTTGCAAACTTTTGCACCTTTTGCACTGCTCTTGTAGAGCTTGCTTTGGTCTGTCAATGGTTCCTCTGCCGGATGTGCATGCATTAAGCTTCGAAAAATAGCACATCTTGCCGAAAATGTCCCAGAACCGAGCCAACCTAATATATTTCTGACGACTTTATCTATTAGGTGGGTCCGAAGGTTTTGTCAGTTTTAATCCATCGGCAGATACGCTAGAATGAAGATAAACAAACGCTTCAAAATGTATCCAACGCAAAATTTCTTCCTCTTTCCAGCTGCTAAACTATTAGGGTGATCCAAAAATAATGGGGCACCTAGAGAATAAATGCAGTTTTTTCAAATGGAAAAGCTAATTGGAAGTCCAAGTTTTGGTAGATGTTAGTACATAACAAAACGTTCTGATCGAGGTCTATAATTGGGCACTGTCACGTGGCGTTATTTTTATAAGCGCTTAAAAGCTCATCACTTCAAGTAATTTTGAACTCTGAGCACCAGCGCCGCAGTAGAACAAGTGAGCCTACCAAAGATATCTGCGTGGCAATGGGTAAGGGACTGTCACCAAATCCACGATAGCTCGGTGGTCCCAAGGCTTTAGAACAGAAGATATAGCTTTGGGTATCAGAAGACATATTACTTATTCTTTCATCAAGGTAATAGTGCTTTTTACTCTCTGCCCACACTGCTTACTTCGACTTTCCTCATTTTCAAAAAATTATGGGCCAAAACATGAATTTTATTCTGAAAATCTGCGCCAAAACCGCACTTTTTTGAATAAACTGCCTTTTTCGTATGAAATAATAAGCAATTTTCAAATATTCAATTAATCGTTATAAAGAGCTTGGAAAGCTCTTTCGAATGGTATGCCATATGTTGAGGAACTTTCAGGTGCAGCAGCACAAATTCGGATGGCGTTAAAAAAGTCTGTCTGACTTCTTTGAAGCGCCGCCCGAAGGAATGTCAGTGAGGTGCTGCAAAGTGCTGTCAAGATAACCTGCGAAGGTCACTTTATACAAATGTGTTCAAATTGCTGATCGTTCATAGCTAATCAGAAAGAGATCTTGAAGAATGTATATAAAATCAGATGTGCCCCTTTACTTTTGGATCACCCTAATACCATTTTGTTTTGTTGAGAGAATGATGAGATATTCGCTGGAAATTGCAATCATTCGTTTTCACCATGTCCAACTTTCACTAATTTGCCAGATTTTTGTATGAAATTCGGAGGAGCTCCAATAACCAGCAGATAGGGCAAACTTTTTGCCAACTTATGCAACTTTTTTCTTTTCTTCAGTTGCTTTCTCAGATTTTTGCTAATTATTTTTCTAAAATTCTTGTGGTTCGGAAAAATCGCATGACCTGTTATTGCACCAAACACTGCAAGACCACAGAAAACTGAGTTTTCAACACACGGTTATTACTACCGCTACTATTACAAAGTAAATGAGCGATTTTCGTTTTAAAGTATGAAGTTTTTAAAACATAGGTTACGTTCAGTTCAGTCGTCACTCATGAATTTGAGAAATACTGCGATTTGCCCCCACAAATTTCGTCTGTCCCGGCAAAAGAAGACAAGTGTTAGAAAGAGGAGATAAATCTGCATCGAATGGTGACTGAAATGTTCAACATTTTAAACTTGAAATAAGCTGGATGTAAAATCTGGTCCCTTCGAAAAATAAATCGTAGAAACTCTGAAAGACAAGCCGTGGGACTACAAAAAACTTGCTTCTGTCGGCAAAAGGTTTGCCCTATCTGCTAGTTATTGGGGCTCCTCCGAAAGTCTCATACAAATATTTTGAAATAGCAAAAGTTGGACATGGTAAAAACGAGTGGTGTAATTTCCAGCAAATATCTCACCGCTCTCGCAAAAACATAATGTGGGTTTAGCTGCTGGAAAGAAGAAGAAATTTTGCATTGGATACATTCTGAAGCGTTTATTTATCTTCATTTCAGCGTGCTTGCCGATGGATTGAAAAAGATGACAAAACTTTTGGACCCACCTAATATGTACTAGGTTGTTCCGAAAGTTTTGTCCGTTTTTCAAACTATTATAAAATCACGCACAATGAAGACCTGAGTAAGTTTTAACACGCATTAGATGCAGGTTTTCATTCTCTTTCTTAAGGATACACTTTCGATCCATATTCATGTATGATTTTTTGATAATTGCCGATCAGCTAAATAAGATATAAACCTTGCACATCGGATTCCGCCTACGGCTCCGGTGGTAGCAAGAACAATGTCACGGTAGTCAGGGCGCCTTTTAGATTGAACAAAAACGACATGTCTGCCCGGACGACGCGCCATGGAGACTGCCTCATGCTCTGCACCTACAACGTCAGGAAGACTCCACAAACGCCGATCTCCACCTCTTCTCAACGCTGCAGAGCACATCAAATATCACGTCATCGCTCTACAGGAAACAAACTCTAAGAAGAAGGACGTGCGAAAGATAAACGATAGGACACTCATTATTCTTATGGAAAAAGTTCCATCACGAAACGTTGGAGGCGTTGACTTTGTCGACCACCCATCTATCGTCCATAGGCGCGATAGTGTGAGAATTTGCTCACCCCCTTTTCACCCTTGGACGAAACCAAGATGACCCCCACCCTCACCTTCACCGAGAGCCGAGGAAAAAAATCAACACTGAGGTAAGTTTAAGCAATGGAGATACTGTACGGGAATTGCTTGTGTATCGGAAAGAAGGAAGAAGATTTATAGGCATTCGCATACACCCAGGAGGAAAAAAATAGTAGCTTTTGTAGCTTTACAGCAATGTCAGCGAAGAAAGCTTCGTGGTACGACGTGGTTTCAGGAAATAATTAGTTTGCCTAGAGTCCTCTCATAGAATTACCTAGTGAAAGGTGCCCACTGATTTTTGGACACTTACGAATTTTCAACATCAAAAAAAATTCATAGATTTTGGAGATGACTAGCCGCTGCAAGGAAATAGTGACCATCGAGACCGCCTCGTCCTCCATTTTCAGAGAATGTTAAGTCGTCCCGAAAGTTCTTTCGCACCAAATTCAAAAATTCATAACTTGTTGAATTCTCAACGAACCTGAAAGAACTCAATTTTGTTTAAGAGACAAACTCATGCTCTTTGCAAATGTACTTGAACGATTTGTAAATGTTTACAAATGAAGGAGATAGAAGCTCAAAACCAAAATCACT